AAGCATTTTTATTGCTGTGTGTAGGTATTACTTCTGGGACGAGCCATTTCTTTTTAAGATGGGGAAGGATGAGGTGCTAAGGAGATGTGTTCTAGAGGAGGAGCAGAGCGACGTCCTCATATTTTGCCACGAGTTCCATTGTGGTGGCCACTTTGGCGGTCAGAAAACCGCCTTTAAGGTATTACAGTCATGTTTGTTTTGGCCATCCCTTTTTAAAGACGCTCATACTTTTTTCCGTTCTTGTGATCGATGCCAAAGAACTGGGAATATAGGTCACAGAAATGAGATGCCCTTGACTAATAACCTTCAAGTCGAAATTTTTGATGTTTGGGGCATTGATTTTATGGGACCATTTCCTAAGTCTAATGGCTACGAATACATTTTGCTTGCTGTAGATTACGTGTCTAAGTGGGTTGAGGCAATCCCCACGAAGACATGTGATGCTAATATTGTTATCAAGTTTGTGCAAGGGTATATATTGAGTAGGTTTGGGTTCCCAAGAGCAATTGTGGGTGATGGAGGGAAGCACTTTTGCAACAAGCTCTTTGAAAAGCTGATGAAAAAGTATTGCATATCACACAAAGTGGCTACTCCATATCACCCACAAAATTTGGGCCAGGCTGAGACCAGTAATAAGCAGATCAAGACCATCTTAGAGAAGACGATGAACTCATCGAGGAAGGATTGGTTGAGCTGGCTCGACGATGCATTGTGGGCCCAACGTACAGCGTACAAAGGCGTCTTGGGCATGAGTCCATTCAGGCTAATCTATGGGAAGTCTTGTCATCTACCAGTGGAAATTGAGCATAAGGCTCTGTGGGTGATTAAGAAGACGAACTTTGATCGAGATGCCGCCGGCAGAGCTCGATTGTTGCAGCTCTCGGAGTTGGAGGAAAGGAGGAACGAGGCATATGAAAATGCCAAGATCTACAAGGATAAGGTGAAGAGACTCCATGATGCCCACATTGTTCGAAAGGAGCTGGTACCGGCCATGCAAGTCCTTCTCTACAACTCTCGACTTCGTCTATTTCCGGGAAAACTCAAGTCCCGGTGGAGTGGCCCATATATTGTTGATGAGGTACTGTCTTTTGGGGCCGTTAGACTGCGCAATCCAGCCAATGACGAGCTATTTACGGTTAACGGGCAGCGAGTGAAGCCTTACTTCGAGGGAGAGTTCGGGAAGTATCATGTCGAGACCATCGGTCTCGGCGAACCAGAGTATCCTTGATCTAGCTGTGCTTTATTTGTACTTTGTGTGTGTATATATATATATATGTTTCAATTTCTTTTATTTAGAAAAAAAAATCGCGACTCGCGACATATTATCGCGAGTCGCGACTCGCGACTTGCGAGGTCGCGACTCGCAAAATTGTCGCGACTCGTGAGGTTCCTCATATTTCTTCGTTGTCGGTCTATGTTTGTTCCGCGAATCACGAGATTTCTCGCGACTCGCGATCTAGTTCGCGAAACTGTTCGCGACGCGCGACTTGTAGTCGCGATTTACCTGCTTCAAAAAAAAAGAAAAAGAAAAAGAAATATAATATGTATCGCGACTTAGGTCTCGCGACTTACCTGCTGCTCTTAAAATTTGACATCGTTTTTTTTTTTTTTTTT